AAAATATGTTGAGACTTCAGCCAAAACTGGTTATAATATAGATTACCTTTTTATGATGATAGCTGAGGATTTTGTCAACGTCACTAGAAATAAAGTACAAGCTAACAAAGGTGAGAGAGGAAGGGGATACTATGGGATAGGGAGTATGGGATGCTCTGTACCATTTATCTTATTAGTAATTAGTTGTGATAATTATAATTGGTGCTTGTGATATTAACTTAATAATTTTATGAACTGTATAAGTGTTTTTTGAGGAATGTGATTTTTCATTATTCACAAAAAAAATCTTTGAAAATCAGTTTAAAATAATTCAAGCCTACAAAGTAGAATTTGCAAGATCAAAATTTGTAAATTATAAATTTTGCCGATTTTGCAAAATATACCATATAGTGGGTATATTCTGTCAGTGTTCAATTTTGTTTTTATTTCTTGTCAAACAAACATTTTTCAAGCAAAAAAAGCGTTTCCTCAATGCCACATCTGCAAAATGGCTGCTCAGAATGAAAATAAAACAAACGAAAATTTTTAATCCTGCTTAGAAAAAAACATTTTTCCAGATGAAATATACCTGCTACATGGTAATTCCCTTTAAAAACCACTTATACTGTACTTCTGTTCTTTCTTTTATTACTCTCTCTCTCTCTCTCTCTCTTGCTGTCTCTTTTCTTTTCAGATGAAGATTCTAGTGTAGCATTACGTCTTGAGCAACCTCCAATGAACAGAGAAAAGTGTAAATGTTAATTACACTATTTCTTTAATCATTATTATTATTATTATTATTATTATTGTTATTATTATTATTATTATTATTATTATCTTGTTTTGTTGTATTAACTTCACATTTTTGTTTTTTGTCATGTCACTCTCTCTTTCTTTTCTCATCAGTTTTATTACTAATAATAATAATTGTCATGATAAACAATAGTGATCATTATAAGAGAAATTGAGGTTGTGTTTTTAATATTATCTTGCCTCATTTACAGGAGTTTCTATCACAGTTCAACAAATAAACTATGGAAAAAAATGATTTGATAAAATATCATTTGTTGCACTAAAACATAATGACACATGAGAATAAGAAACTATGTACATGATAAACTACAACTGGAAACAGCTCAAACTTTCTGACAGTAAAAACTAATTTTGGAGCCAATTTTTGGGGCTACAGCCTTTGCTTTTCTAAAAAATTGACTCATTTTTAAAATGCTCATAACTCAAAAAATGTTTGTCGGAAAAAAACTCAAACTTGTTACACAGCATAAGGGCATCAATATGTATCAGAAAATGTAATAAAAATTTGGGGTGATTATGGAGCTATTTTTTGGAAAAAACCATGGGCTATAGCCTTGGGTATTTTTCAAAAATTGGCTTAATTTTAAAAATTGCTATAACTCAACAAATATTTATCGGAATTGGCTCAAACTTTCTATATAGCATAAGTACATCAATATGTATCAGAAAATGTAATAAAAATTTGGGGTGATTATGGAGCCATTTTTTGGAAAAAACCATGGGCTTAATTTTGTATCAATCTTGGGTATTTTTCAGAATTTTGGCATTTTAATAAAATGGCCATAACTCCAAAAATTAAAGTCAGAATCAGCACAAACTTTCTACACAGCATAAGGACATCAATATGCATCGGAAAATTTGATAAAAGTTTGAGGTAATTTTGGAGCCATTTTTTGGAAAAAATCATGGGCTATAGCCTTTGCTTTTTTCAAAAATTGGTTTGTTTTTTAAATTCTTAATTATTTTTTAGAAACAGCTCAAACTTAGAGATCTATACATGGCATTATTAGGACATCAATATGTATCAGAAAATGTAGTAATCAACTCATATACCCTTGCCCATACACCTACACATGGCAAGGGTAAAAATTGGGGGCATTTTACAACAAAACAAAGGTAAAAGCTGCACTCTCTGTATCACCACTCACAAACATTATACTTCTTAAGACACTGTTACACCTCTTTTTAAGTCTGTTGTCCATCTATGATGCACATGTGTGGTTGTTATCCATTTAATTTAGTACATCTGCACATGTGCAGTATACAAAACTAGCTTTTGAAGGGGAAAACAGACCATAAAAGAGGTGTAAGAGCTTGCATTTTCCAAATTTGGCCTATTATGGGTGAGGCTGCACATGCTCAGTAGTCTCGCAGAGATGCAATTGCATGGAACACTGTAATTATTTCTTGGCCGAATTCTGAGCTCTTTTAATGATCAATAGCTATATTTCTGATAAAATAAAAATGCCCAAAATGTCCATTAGCAAATACGCCAGTGTAGAACTAACCATTTTAGACTCATAAACATAGAGCGGTCTCAAGGCATCAGGCTGTGGGTGTAACATCGTCTGCAATGAATCATTCTCCTCTTGAAGACTGGATACAATACTTAACCCCTGTAGGGGAAAATAAATAATTTAAACAAACAAATAAATAGGATTTAAGTTCAAGAGTAGGGGGAAAAGAAAAGCATATGTACCTGTTATCAGGAATTTCAACTTTCAACCAAACATTATTTTTGTCAATTCAAGAAATATAATTGATTTCAGAAATGAAAGAGAAAGCATTTACAAGTATAATGAAATCACAACATGTACATCAGAAAAATAAAATAACAAAGAATTTTCTACTTCTCATTTTTGAAAAAATTATTAGCAACTTTTCTTTTGTCTTTAAATAGTGTTATTTATTTATTGTTTTATAGCATTTCATAATATACGAGGCCGTATTAGTCTACCAGTGCATGTACATCAATAATAATTCACATACTTATTGATTTACATTAGCTGAGAATAACAGCAACCCCTGATGATACATATGTTTAAAAATTGGAAAGTTATTAGCAGTATGTTTCAAAAATTGTCTCAGAGTTGTAATTTGAATTGGTACATCTTATCAGTCCTTTGCATTGATTTCGCTAATACATGAAAGTTTAGTTCTACCCACTAACAGTATATCACATGAGAAGAAAAATCCATTAACTGATTGAAGCATACGGTGCATGCACTTACTTTATTATAATATAATAAAGTAAGTGCATGCACCGTATGATCCTTAACTTAAAATGGCTGCCAAAAGATGGAGGTATTGAGTCATTTTAAATTGGTAAAAGTTTGTCAAGCATTTTTATTCACCGAAATTTTTGTTTTGTGTGAGTAGCATGCAGATTTATAACAGAGTGACAAAAATCGATTTTAACAATAAATTTAAATTTTTTAAAAAATTTTGACTTACAAAAATTTAAAGGTATACAAAAATTAATTGTGGGGACTAGCAACAAAGAGTCACTAAGAACAAACTAATTACACAAATTATTGAATAAAAATGTATTTAGAAAAACAATTTTATTTTAAAATAATTATTAGCTAGGCAGTGATTAATTTTTTGAAAGAGTAGTAATACAACTTGATATGACTATTAAAATCAAACCAATCCATTTCAGTCAGATCAATGTCTACAGGTAAGTTCCAAGTATGTATGTTGTGATGTGATCCCTAATCCTCTTCAACCTACAATAAAATAAATGAGTCCATGAATAATTTAGTCACAAAAAGCAGAAGCCTCCAGTATAATACTACTGTATACACTAAAGTAAAGGTAATCATTAACTGATTGTACATGTACATGATGAAACATGAGGTTTACTGACCTTGCTTCCTCTGCCTCTTGTATTTCTGATCTCTCTTTATCTGTTAACTCTTTCATTGTCTCTCTATTGTCTCTAAATAATTATTAAACAGTAAGAGGTGATGTAAGTGTGTGTGTATACATAATGTGTGTGTGTTCATTAGTACTTGTAATATATGACATATCCATCACCATATAGTCCTAATGAGTATCTGTCTGAAGTGTTGGAATACCATTTCAATTTATTCTCAATATCAAGACATGATATCTCAACTGGAAATGATTCACCCTAATAGAATCAGAGAGACTATTAATATGTGTATCATTCAATGATTATAACCTCTGTGTAAGAGATATACTCAGCAGGAACTCCGCTTAACTCCGACAGCTGTAAAAACAACAACAATAATAATAATAACATACTAATACATGTATGTAATCAATCTAAATTTATTATAGTTTCTTATAGTACCTTTTCAATAATAAACTTAGTATCATATCTATCATCCAGTATAATATCTTCTATTGGATCAACTGAACATTGTGATGGACGCCATCTTATAACATATGCCTGTGTCTGCAAAAGCTTCTTCTCTGGTCCTAATAAAATATATATGCAAAGAAATTAATATATTAACTACTATAGATTCATCATGTAAAGTACAGTATGAGTATACTGAAATACCATATAGCACTTTAATTTAGCAGAGTTTTTTTTTGCCCAATATTAAAATGGTCAATCATTATAATGCGCATGCTCAGTAATGTGCATGTACACAAAAATCACCAAATTAAAAATGGCAAATTACAATTTTATAGCAAAATTGCCAAAATAAAGCACTATACAGTATACTGACCTGTCAATGGTTCCACATACATTTCGCTATCGCTACCAGCAACAGTCCAATCATCAGAATAATATACTATATCAGGGGACACTCCATTCTTTGAACGTAATCTCATTCTACACAATAAGTTACATGATAGTCACATGATAGTCATTTGATGTACTTACTTGTCTAATTCAAGGACACAGTCAATTCCTTGTACTTTTGCTTCTTCAATAATTTGTTTCTTAAAGTTTCTCATTGGTGTACTCTTAGCAACAATAGACTCCATCATATACTTACAAAACTAAAAATAAAATAAAATTATAAGTAATAATAATTAATGTGTTTTACTTCTATACTGTTAACTTGTAATAAATATAATTTAATTCTGTGCTCTCCTTCTTGTAATTCTCTGCCCAATCTTACTATCAACTAGTATAAACAAAGTAATGAAGAGATGAGTGAGTGTGTTCTTAGTACTTACAGTACAGTAGGTATAATGGAAAGAAGCTAGGGAATGATCAAATAACATGCTAAACTACATGCATACCTTTGATTCAGATAAATTCATTAATATCTCATCCAGTCTCTTCAATCCATAACCATTGGTTTTATACACACTAAAACCAGTAGGTGGTACACCAATCAGTGGAACTAGCTCCTCCTTCAATTGAGCTAATGTTATTCTCTTATCAACTAGTACCTGTATCTCTGTATTGAATATAATGTTTAATGATCTTTTTATGATAATAAAAATTAATCATTTATCATTACTTCCTTCTTTTCCTTTATTTTCTTCTTCCATTGATATAATTTTCATCATTATTCTTCCTTTTCTTCTATTAGTTGTAATGGGTGTGCCAGCTTTAGGTCCAGGAGGTATTGTAATGTCCAGTAGTATTGAATTGAACTGAAACTCAATACATTTGTACATCAAACTATCTCTGAATCCTTTCTGATAATCTTCAGGATCTGATGATACATACAGCAACTGAGTGTGTGACTGTGTTTGTGTGTGTGTGTGTGTGTAGAGGAAAGATGAATGTATATGATTATCATTTAAATAATAGAAACATTGGCTAAAATGGCTCAACAAAACACCGATGGTGGATTGGCCTCGCCAGAACAAAAAAAAACAATATTAATTTTGTTTTACATGTATAATTTCAAAACTATATTTTGTCTTGCAAATTACCACTGTATTAAAAGTAACTTGCTTAGATAGTGTTGATTGCTACAGTTTTGATTGCATTCTTCATAGTCTAATAAAGGCCTTTCTACACTTGAAGTCTTGAACGGTTCCAGAAGTTGGCTCATTAATGGGCATGCATCAAGTGATTCCACACTATCTTCAAGGTCATGTATATTTTGATAGCATTTCTGATCCAGCTGCCATTGGTTATCTATTGAATGCGCATTCAAATATATCGAATCAACCAATATTTTTATCGATAATTGGCAATATCGATAAATATCGTTATCGAAATTTTGAAGCTCAAATTTTGATATAATAACCCCACCCACATAACCAGAATAATAGTTATATAAACAGTGGTTAATTAAGTAAATTTAATTGTAAAACAACCTTGTAAGCAGCTATACAAAGGCAGGATAGTTGCTATCTGTCAGAAGAACCTGGATCAAGCCAAAATAAGAAGATATGAGGCCATTTTTGAATGAAAAACTAAGTAATCACTTTTTATCATAGGTTATTAACTATTATTATAGTTTATTAACTATTATCTGGGTGTGGTCAATATCGTATTGAAAAATATTGATAATCACTAAAATTTGTCCAATATCAATAATTATCATATTGATTCAAAATTTTCAATATCGCCCATCACTACCACATATGGAGGTGGTTTGGCTTAATCATAGTACCGGTATTCAATCCGGGTTACTTTGGGTCACTTACATGAACCACCCACGTGTAATTATGGCTATCATTTATTCTTCAGTAAAAATGTTTGTAAGGTAAAATCAAGATTTCATTCAATTAAATGACTCCAAGGGAAGCAAACATGTCTTATTAATGTATTAAGTACTTCTTTCAAGTAAATTAAAGCAAAAACAAAAG